TAAAGCGTCATCCCGTCACAGATCGTGCTCTTCACCGAGAATGGGTTCCTCCCCTCTCCCACCCCCGCCCCCCCTCCCCGCCTCGCCGCCGTTGTTATTTTCTCTTGGATCCAATAAATTAAAAATTGATGGCAGCCCAGAATGTGTTGTGCTCCGCGGAGTGCGCGTGCCGGTTGCGTTTCCGCGTGGTCGCCTGGAGTCCGGGCCCCTCCCTGAAGGTTCCCGGGAGGGAGGGACGGAAGCGGCCCCTCCGCAGTTACTCATTCGGAAACGGGCGCGGGTCTCAGGACGCAGGTGTGGAGGCTCCCGTCGGGTGCCGAGCTGGCTGGGTGGATGCTGCACAGTCCTTGTAAACATGGGTCCCCGTCAGGGTGGCGGCGGTGACGTGGGTGGCACACGATTTTAAGATCCTTGCACCCCTCCCCCCACATCCATCCCTGTATCCCCCGCACCCCCCACCCCCATTCCTGAGACAGTAATTCTGTGTATGTTCCTCCCGGATTGTGGCTTAGCCATGGAAGACAGAGGGTTGGGTTTGAATCACTGCAGGGTGAGGGGCACGCAGCCCAGTGATGCATGTGCGGGGATGCTCCTGGGACCCCAGGCGCCTGCTCCCCCCCTTCACCCCCCCCCCAGAATTCCCGGGAGGGCAGGTGCAGGGACAGTTGTTAGAGACCCACCCTGTGGGCAGGGCCCAGGGGATCCTGCGTGGGGGGGATCACCGGCCAGGTAAGGCCCAGCTAAGCCTGAGCAGCCGCTGGGGGCCTGTCGGCGGCCTGGCTGGGCCCGAGTTAACCGTGTCTCTCCCTTTCCGTCTGCTGCCCAAATTCCTTTGCAGCCCAGCTGAGGCGCGGGAGAGTTTGTCTTAGGATCAAGTGCTTCCCCCGTGCACTTAATGTCCATTATTATTTGTGAATCCTGACTTCATTGCTTCTAAATGCATTCACCAGCTGGGAGGAGGCCCTGCCTTGTAAATAAAATTCGGTTTTGTTGTAAAAGAGGGTGAACGTGCTTTGTGTGTGTCTGTAAATATGTACTGTTTGGCCGTGCACTTCAGGATTTAACCTTTCGGGACCCACCCCAGGCCGATGTGTGCCTTTGGGACAGCGCCCTGGGCATCCATCCCTCTCTCCTCTTAACGAATCAGACAGTGTGGCAATCTCTCTACCTTATTCGGCCCACAACAGTGAGGGCAACCGTGTTTTCCAGGGCTGCCCGACTCGGGGAGCTTCCCAGCACAGCCCCCAGCCCCCCGGAGGGCACACCTCCGCTTTCACGGGGCCCAGGTTGGCCCAGGCAAGGCAGGGGCTGGTCTGCAGGGCTCCGGTATTCAAAAAGCTGCCTTGGTTTGACGGTGTCTTTTATCTTTCCTGGTGCTTTCTCGTCTCTGGGTGGCAGTTGGGACCGCTCTGCCTGCCAGGCACAGGCTGGTTGTCTGAGGCGGTGCCGAGCTGTGCGGCTGGGCGCCCACCAGACAGAGGAAGCAGGGTTCCGAGGGGCCAGGCGCGGCCCCACTCGGCCCTTCTCTAAGCCTGGCCAGGTGCCTCTCTCTCCTTTTATTTCTCCCATCAGTGATGCAGTTCTGAGAAGGGACGCACACACGCGCTCCGCACACCTACCTTGGTATCCGCCTGCCAGCGGAAATGAAACCACAGCCTGACGTTGGGGTGTCTCCCAAGGCCTTGGGTGTGAAGTTTTAAGGCTGAGGAGGCCGTCTTGGTCTACCCGCTCTGACCCAAACAGTCAGCAGTTTGGGGGTGCCATTGCCACGGTCCTGGGAAGTGTCTCCTGTGGCAGGCCCCACGCCCCAGGAGGCGGGGAGAGGGAGCCCCAAGGTCGGGCGGGGTGAATGCCCTCTTCACTTGGAGTTTTACTTTCAACACTGGAAGTGGGGGGAGGGAGGCTTTCAGGTGGGTGTTTCCTGGCCTCCTGGCCTCCCCTGGAGGCACTGAGCTGGACCCTGGGTCAGGAGGTGGGCATGGAGCTCAGAGCTGTCTGTGGCTCGCCAGTGGGCCCGGCTGCCCGGGTGGGTTGGCTGTGAGGGGACTGGAGGCGGAACCTTGAACTGCCGCGCAGCGAATGGAGTGGGAGACTTTCAAACTCAGTGACTGGGGCTCGCGGGGCTGGCGCAGGAGGAAGGGGAAGGCAGAGACCGCTCAGTCCAGGAAGGCTTACAGATGTTACAAAAAAACATCTGGGGCGGGGCAGGGAGGACAAGGAAGACAGAACTGGCGCACAGACGGGAGGGAGAGGGCAGCATGCTTGCAAACAGAGCATGTGGCCCTTGCTAATTTTTAAATGAGCCCGTGTCTCTTTCGAATTACAACAGGATTTGAAATTACGTAGCTTCCCCGCCCCCCCCTCCCCCCCACCCCCAGCAGAGAGAGCAGTGTGCTTCCTAGAACTGCACAGGGGAGCCAGGGACCAGGCTGAAAAAGTTCACGAAAGCAAAGCACACAGCAAGGAAGGGAAGCCAGAGGTGACATGGACAGCAGGAGCCCGCCTGGCCCCCTGGCGATGCTGGGGACCGAGCACCGGCCTCCTTCGTCCTTGCCTTACGGTTATCACATGGCCTGAGTGACAGGCCGGGCACCCGCCCGCCTGGGCAGGCCCGCCTCTCGCCAGGGGACAGGGGCCGCCCAGCCTGCCCACCGCAAACTCACCCGTTTCATTTGCATTCCCAATTTCATTTTGCCCTTTTCTTTTTTCCTCTTTCAGATCATTTCCTTTGTGCCTCTCTCTCTTTTAACAAAACAATATTTTGACACCCTCCTCCCATGTATCAGAGTCCTTCTCTAGACATGGTGCAGAGTCCGCCCTGATATTTCTAAAGAGCTGTTTTCACAGCCCTCTCCTTTGGCTCTGAAATTATGTATATGTAATTGGTAATTAAAGGTGTGAGCTTTTCAATACAAACAGTATTGCTCAATGTTAGATCATTAAAGGGAAAAGAGGCTCCGAATAATTACCTTTTTCCGTCCTGACGAACGGTTCACGGGAACCCAGGCCGCCCCCCCCCCCCCCCCCGGAACTGCATGGGGTGGGAGGTGGCGATTCCATTTTCACCGGAGCAAGGCATCTTTTCATAAAACCAATTGGTAAATTAATTACGTAGCATTGTCTTCCAACTCCTTTCCAAGGCGCCCCCCTTTTCTTCTTAAAGCGGAATGAATGGTTTCTGGGGCGGGCCTTGTGAAAGATGCCTCTCGAACCTTCCAGGGTCTTTCTGTTGGAGGGAAGCAGGCGCCGGTTTAGGCTCTCCTCACCTGCGGGGCGTTTCTGTGGGGCCACGTTTCGAATGCGTGCCTACGTTCCGTTCATGGGAGGCTCAGTCTGCTTTCCTGGAACCCCAGGCAGGATCTCAGACACCCGCCTCCCTTCTCAGCGGGACCTACTCGAGGGCCCACACGCTCATGTTTCATACGTGTTCCGTGCCGGGTTCTGACGACCGTGGACTCAGTCCTGCACGCGGACGCGCACAGGCCCCGAAAGAAGCCCGCGTACGGAAAACACAGAGCAGGGATTTATGTGTAGGATGAGAGATGCCACAGGATTTTCCCCTGAAATTATCTGTTCTTTGGCTCGGGCCCGCCGATCACTTCACAGCCACGGAATGTGTTTCCTCCCTTCCCTTCCTTCCCTCTGTGCTCCTGCGGTTTTCCCGATCCTTCCTAACCGGCTCACAGCTTAACATGTACCCCCCCCCCCCGACCCCCGATGTCCCACCTCTGAGGACCCCGACACGCGTGCCATCTTCCCGACCACTCCGACCCGGAGGGAGGGCGCAGCTCCGTGTCCACGTCCCTGATTTATGACACCGTTTCTGCTGCCGAGTCTCCCAGTGCCCCCCGAGGGGGTTGCCACTTTCTGAGGTATTTATTGGTTTCAAAATACTTGTGTCCTATGCCCCTTACAAAATAAAAATAAAAATAAAAATACGGAAGTGTGTCAGCTGCTAAAGAAATGGGAAAATGTACGAAACCCATTGAAAGTGTGGTTTGTCATCTGCCAAGAAATGCCTCTGGAATCTGAAGGATTTTTTCCCCTTTTCTTTTTCTGGGAGCGAGAGTGACACCAACAGGCACGCGGGACAGGGGTGGCTGGCGGGTGCTGGGAAACCTACTGGGCGACGGTCTGACCCGTGCCGGGTGCTGGGGACGGCCCGCTGCCCCTCGGCCGCAGCCCCGCAGCCCCGCAGCCCCGCAGGGCCCCTTCCCTTCCCTTCCCTTCCCTTCCCGGCCTCGCTCTTCCTTTTGATATTTCTCTTGGAACCGACACTCACTTGTTGCTGGGCACGTGGGCTCCTTCCTCTCAGCAGGCCTGGGCCTCTGACGGCCGCCTGCCTTTCTGTCTTCTCTTCTGGTGTGCCGCCAGGTCTCAGGTAGAGGAATGCAAGTCGGACTCGCATGAATGGGGGAGCCATGAATGAAAGGTGGAGGCCAGGGGGGCGGCAGGGAGAGCCCCCGCCGGGCCAGAGGGCTCTGGGTCGTGGCTCTCAGCCTTGGCTGCCCATCGGCATCACCTGGGAGCTTCAACCACAACCACCACTGGGCATTTGGCTCCCAGGGTCCTTGGCCTGGGCGTGGAAGGTTTTCCAAGATCCCCAGGTGACTCTCAGAGGTTGCAAATTTCGAGGGACACGCGCCCCATCTGGGATGGCTGAATCGCTTGTGAAACCAGCATGTGTGTTCGGACGCTGTGGGTGGGGGTGGGGGTTGGCAGAGAATCCACTAGGAAGCAGTAAGGTTAGCCCTGCTTCAGCCACAAGCTCAGGGAGCCATGCCATTGCTCCCGGAACCTCAGTTTGCCCATCTGTCGCCCACCTTCGGGATGGTGCACCCCTGCCTCCGGGAGTCCGGGGGAGGACGTGGCGAGCTCTGGGGTCCCGCAGCGGAGGGGGCCTGCCTGCAGGTGGGGACGGGTTGGAATGCAGGCTGGGTGCTTGTGACTGCCTAAGCCCATCTCTGTCTTCTCTGCCCCCCTCTCCTTTCTCTCTGCAGCGGAGGCTGACCATGTGGAGGCTGCCATCCTTGAAGAAGACGAGGGTCTGGACATAGAGGAGCCCAGCGGCCTGGGGCTGTTGGTGGGTGGCCCCGACCCTGACCTGCTCACCTGTGGACAGTGTCAGATGAATTTCCCCCTGGGGGACATCCTGGTTTTTATAGAGCACAAGAAGAAGCAGTGTGGCGGCAGCCTGGGTACCTGCTATGACAAAGGCCTGGACAAGGGCAGCCCGCCGCCCTCCTCACGCTCCGAGCTCAGGAAAGTGTCCGAGCCGGTGGAGATCGGCATCCAAGTCACCCCCGATGAAGATGACCACCTGCTCTCGCCCACGAAAGGCATTTGCCCCAAGCAGGAGAACATGGCAGGTATGGCACGTTGCCCTCGCCCGGCCGCTGCACAAGCCACCTCCCGCGTCCCACGCCCACCTTCACCCCTGGCTGTGTCCGGCGCCGGTGCCGGGATGGCCTCCGGGCCACCCGCTGGGCTCGCCCTTTCCGAAGGCCCACCGTCCAGGTGACGCTCAGGGGGAGACGGGCCCAGGGTTCAGGGCGGCCCGACTGGCTGATGGTGGCTTTGCTTTCGACAAGGGGGCGCGGCACAGGTATGGCCTCGTGCACAGGTGGCCAGGAGTGCAGAACGGGAGCCTGGAAGGCTGGCTGGCCCTCACGGTGTGGTGGTTCATAGCTTCGTCTCTGGCTTTGGAGCCCTAGCCTTGGGTTGGAATCTGTGCTTCACAACTTGGCCTGATCCGTGTCCGCATCTGTGAAATGGAGCCTGTGACACCTCTTTCCTTAGGGTTGTTGTGAGCTGGGGGGACTGCATGGGGGCGGTCCCTGGAGGGCACTTATGAATGGGGTCGCTCCTTTTCTCCCCCTCCTCTCTCTGGCCTCCGTTTCCCATTTGTGCAAAGAGGCTCCTTCTGCCACGGCTTTGTCCCCGTGGGTAGGTCTGGGAAGGGCTTGTGGGCACTTGCTGGAGCACTGTGCCCATCGGGGAGGTTGGGCATGCCCTTTGGTCCGCCGACTGAGCTGGCCACCTGGACCACTGGTTCTTTCCGCCTGAACAACAGGTATGGGGCTTGTGGTCTCCGGCCAGTCTGCTCATCACGTGGTTTTGCATGAGTCCCTCTCTCCAGGCCCTGGCCATGGTCTGCTAGATCCTCTTTCATGGGGCCCAGGCTCTGTGCAAACCAGAGTGCTTGCTCTGGCTCATCCTTCTGAGCCCAGGAGACCTCGGGGACAAAGGAGGGCTCTGGCTGGCCCGTGTCCCCGAGAGCGGCAGCCTGGCATCAGATTGGGTGCAGATGAGGGTTCGAATCCTGATGGTTGGCTTTGGACAAGTCACTCCTGGACCCCTGCCTCAGTTTCCCCATCGGTCAGCAGGAGTGATGACACTGGCAAGCCTGCATGAGGATTACACGAGCAGCGGCTCCGTGAATGCTTTGCCAGTGGAATTTTTCTTTGGGGCGGTCCCCTCTGTGCTGTGGTGTGCAAGTAGGTGTGGGTGGCCGGCTGGGAAAGTGTGCGGATCCGTCTCCACCGTGTTTTGGTCATGAAAGCTAGTGGGGAGGTTGGTGCCCCTTGGAGGGTGAGCCAGTAAGCCCACAGGTGAGATGGATGGGTGTGTGTGCAGAGATCCACGCCCCCCCCCCCCCCCCCCGCCACCAGGAGGCAGTGGGTACGATAATACAGCAAGCCCAACTTCTCTGTAGCAGCCATGTGATTGTGGGCCTCACTTTGCCCATCTGTAAAATGGGATCAGTGAGCTAGCTCTCTCTTGCGGAGAGACTGTGGTGGTCTGTGCTGGGGACACTGGCCTGTGGGCCTTGCCTTCGGGTGGGTGTGTGTCCCAGCAGGAGAGCTCCCACACTCCTATGGCACCAAGGGCGCTGAGGAAAATGTCCCAGGCCATGGTCACGGAGACCCTAGCTTTCGAGTTCCGTGCAGATCTGAGTGGTGCTTCCTGCGTTGAGTCTGAGAACAGTGCTGGGTCCCTTTGTCTGTACCGTTGAGGTCCCCACCATTTCTTTTCTCAATCGGATGTGCGAAGATTGTTCTCCCCAGCGGTACAAGCGCCGGGCATCGGTGCCAACCGACCCCCCGGGGGCTCAGCAGGGGGCCGGCTTCCTGCTTTCCCCAGAAGCCCTCTGAGTCCGCATTTCAGGTGGCGGGTGCTTCCCAGGGAGAGGCTGCCGGCCACGGAGGGTATGTGTGTTTAAGAAAGCGACTCAATATGATTTCATAAAAGGCCACACTAATCTCCAAGGCACTGTGTCTCCCTCCCCTACACCCTCCCCCCCTTTGGTTGTAGGTGGTAATACAGCAGCAGCCTCCAGTGTTTTTGCTTTATGTGACCAAAGGTATTCTCGGCCTTTTCTGTTCAGCAACAGGACGAATGGCTTTCTCCATTCCTGAAGAAACATGTGAAACAATCCCTTAGAAGGCTAAAGAGATGTGTCTGTGCAGAGCATTTAAAGTGGTATTTTGATCAAGGGCACAAAACAGTCTCCGTGCCCTGCCAGCCGGAGACGGCCGTCCGTTCGACCGCCAGCCTCGCTCTTCTCTCTCTTGTCCCCCCTTTTCCCCTTTTCCCTTCCTACTTTGGCACCAACTTCTTTTTTATTATTATTATTATTTAATAAAAAGGGAAGATTAGAGAATAAAACTTCAGGGGCTCAAATGTATAAAGTAATTTAATATGGTGGGAGCATTAATTATTTTAGCGTAATTGAATTCTGAGGACTGCAGCGGTTGCATTTCTGTCGACAAGCCCTGTTTATTATTTCTCTGTGTAGATTAACAGTAAAGGAAACACAGATAACTTTCAGTTATTTATTGTAAAATAAATGTGTCAATTCATGTGTAAAGCAAGCTGCTCAAAGATAATTGAGCCTTTATATTTTAAGAGGGGGGCTAGGAGCCACAGGCGCTGCTCCCCCCCCGCTCCCGGAACCCCGCCCAGCTGCTGCCCCTGCCACTGGCTCCGCTGGCCGTGCCCAGGCCTCTCCGGTGGCTGTTCATTCTTGGGGCCTCGCCCCTGGCTTGGTGTCCGAGGTGAGGTGCTCGCGGTGGCCAGGGGCATGGTGACTTTGCTGGGGGGCAGTCTGCGTGTTGTCTCCCTCTCTGCCAGGTGCTTCCAGAAGCTATGATCTGGAAATGGATGGGTAGGGCTGGCTTGTAACTATTCCGGGTCCCTTCCACTCCTGTGGGCATCCCCAGTGAGAACTACGTTGGGATTCTGTCAGTCATCGCACCAGGGTGGGACTTGGGATCACCCTTTCTTGGACAGTAATTCTGGGGATGGGTAGGAAAGGATTCGTTACTATTCCTTTTTATTATTATTATTTTTTTAATGGTAGAGAAATAGGAGAATGGAAGGAGGAAGTTTCTGAAGCTTTGTCTCTTGAGGGCATTCATTCATTCAAACATCCATCCATCTGTTCATTCATTCAGCAACTGAGCGCCTACTGCCCTTCCCCCGGTGGTGGAGTCCTAGGGGCCCGGAGCGTGTGGGAGGATGGCCATCAGGGCTGCTGCTCTCTCCCGCGTGGGGAACGTGGCCAGAGTGTGGGCGGGTAGGGTCCCTGCCCTTGATGTATGGAGCTACCGACCCAGGCCCTGCTCCCTGAGCGTCCACTCTGGGAGAGGAGGTCCGTGGTGTGTGTGTCCCATCTGGGGACAGAGAGGTGAAGCTGGTCATGGTGAGGACCTTGGCTTAGAGGTCCGAGTCGGAGGAAGGCATCTGATGCTGGTACCTGCCAGCTGATGGAGGAGTTCTTCCCTTTCTTAAGATCCCTTCCTGCGGCCTCTCCCTGCCTCTCTGAGGTTTCTGATGGAGCCCGGGGCGCATCCGTCAAGGGGAGATGAGACCCTGGGAGGGGCCAGCAGGAGGTTCCAGCGTTTGCACAGAGCAGGGGTCCCTGAGCCGCTGTCTGGGGTGGGCGTTTTGAGGAGGAGTGAGGAGAAAGGGAGATTAAGGGGCTGTGGGGCTTGTGGCCTGCTGTCTGGAAAAGCACCTAGGCCAGAGGCGTGCCACCCGGCTGCCTGCCGGCCTCGCTAAGCTGCAGTGCCCGTACCTGGGGACATACCTGACAGTAATGGTGACTTTAAGTGGCATGTGCTACACATGTGAGCGCCCTCCCCCTGCCCCAGCCCCATCGTTTCCTGGGGTTCTGAGAATCCCGCCATCAGAAACAACTTCAGAACCACTGTGGTGCTGTCCTCTGTGTCCCCACCCTGCCGGCCCCCATCCTGTTCCCACTGCTGTCCTGGGGCGATGCGCTCACGGTGTGCCGCCCTGGGAGGGTCTCGGGGGTCGAAGGAGCCAGGGCTCGCTTGGGCATTGGCTGGACCCAGGAAAGTCAAGTCACTTTTCTGGGCCTCAGTTTCCACGTCTGCACCTACTTCCCAGCACACGTCCAGCTGGCGGTAGACGATGGAAAAGGGGAGGCTTTGAAAAAGCCACGCTCAGGAGGGCGTGGACCCTGCTTGGTGCACGAGGTGTTTGCTCTCCTCAGTGGACGTCTTGGAAGTGTACCGTGGCTCTCTCAGCCACGTCCTCGCCATCCCTCCTTCGAGTTCCCATCTCACAGCCACGGGAGGGGAGGCTCTTGATCACAGGTAACGGGTTCTTGCGTGCTCTCCCCTCTTCCACAACCAAATGAAGCTATAACGGGAGGAATGAGCCGTCAGCCGTCACTCAGAGCTTTGCCTTTTGCCTTCTCTTCCTCCTCCCCCCAGACCCCAAATGTCAGGTTTCTGGAGACAGGCAGGAGACAGGCAGCGGGTGACAGGAGGTGGCAGCTCCCCCTGGGCTGGAGGTGGCAGGCAGTTCCTCGCCCGCCCACAAGTCTTCACCCGGAACCCCGAAGGCCAGGGTGGGCCTGGGTGGAGGGCGGTGCAGGCAGCAGGCAGGGCGCGGACAGGGGGTTCGGTTTGGAGTCCCGGTGACCCATTGCAGGACAAAATGCACTGGGGAAAAAGGGCGCCTCATCAGCTGGAGGGTTTTCATGCCGCTCTGAGACTTCGTTTCAGACTTTTAAAAATAAATAAAATAAGTGCGGGGAAAAAAAAAAATTAGCTTGGCCAGTGGCAGACGAAATAACTTGCTTGTGCTGGAAACTCGAGATAAACTCACTTGCAGGTTGTCTTGAAAAACTTGCATTTGATATATTTCGAGTTGTTATTTTCCCTCCAAATTAAGATTGGTTAAATCCATGTGTGTTGTGGCATGGATTATCTTTTTCTATTATTAAATCGTGACAGCTAATTATTAGCTCTGTCTACACCAAGGAAGAGGGGAGTGCTCTGTCAGAGGGATGTGGCCTGGGCTCAGGCTGAGATGCTGACTGCCCCCTCTGCCCCCC